CTTTATCTTTATCCCTACTCTGAGATATGGTGAAATGAAGAGATAATTTGGATGTGCTAATGTTAAAAAATAAAATAAATTGTTATGGTTTTTCAACTCCGTTGTTAATTTACTTTTCGATTTGACCAATTGAATTGTTAAAATATGTTGTGAAACATATGATCTGGGAAATGGAGTATGATGATCCGTCTACAACGGTATGAGTTCTACAACGGAGTGAGAATCACATTTAATTCCATGAAGGAGTATTTCGTTCATGGAATTAAGTGCAAATAAATTATGAAATATACATTGTTGGGTGTAGAATTGAAGATTTTTAGGGTGACAGACTAAAATCTTCAATTCGGTCTTAGTGTTTAAGAATTAAAACGAGTGTTAGCCTTCGGGTGAAGAGAAGTGGGAGCTCTTGAGTGAGAGTCAGTATCCTCCTAGCCTAGCCACGGATTTAGGGACTAAACCTGATATTAGACAATGATTTCTATTACACTGAATCAAAGTAGTGAATTAAAATTGCTCATATTTGGTACAATACATATTTAAACCATTTATCTCATCTCATTTAACCAAAAACTCATTGTAGTGGGAAATATACTTTTTCATATTAGAAAACTTCATCACATAATCATAGTTTAATAGTTACTGTTTTAAACTTTTCATTTAGATTTTGCTAATTGTTAATAATTTAATTCTGATAGTATCTCAAACATTCAGAATTAGTGACAATAATTTTATTTTCTTTCTGTAAATTTCCTAGTTAATTTATCTGTTCAAAATTAAACCTTCCTCGTGGGATCGATATTTGGAACTTAAATAGAAAGTCTTATATTACTTGATAACGGTATATATACTTGCGTAAGATCCCTACATTAAGTGATTAACGTTTTTATTCATAAAATAACATCAAGTTTTTTGCACCGCTGTAAAGCGGAGTCAACTTTATAATTTTTACACAACTATATTTTTGGGGATCATAGTCCAGACAACTCTACGTCCGAACTCCGGATATAATATTTTCTCGATGGGAAGAGTGCATCTTTCTTTCTTTTTTTTATTATTATATTATATTTTTTGTTTCTATATATAATTTTAATTTATTATATTACATCATAATTGTTATTATTATTATTTTATTATTATTATTTCATGAAAGGAGTGGTTGGTGTTTGTTCTGATTTTTCAATGAGGGATTTAAATTTTAATTAATTAAAAAAATTGTTATTTAGTGTTTTATTGATATCTCATGGTTTAGTAATCCGAATTGTAGGTTAAGTGGATTGTTATGAAGAGGATGAGGGCTTGAGTTTGGTTTTAATTTTAACAGGTTTATGTTAGGCTTTCAGGCTTGTGTTTTGATTTTAATTTTAATGGGTTTAATAATTTGAACTTTAATTTACTAATTATGTTGAATTTGTTGAATTTTTTTATTGAATGTAATCACGTTGAATTTAATTTGGATTTGATTTTAAGTGGATTTCATTATATTGATTTCTCTTATTTTTTTTCCAATAGATTAAATTTTGATTGAGTTTAATTTAAAGTAAATTTAACTTTGATTTTTAATTTAATGATATTGAATTGTATTTTAATCAATTGATTGATCTTAGTGGATTACATTAATTTTGTTGAATTTTTACTTAAACGGATTTTATTAATTAATTTTGGTTTAATTTAATTATTTTGGGTTAAATTTAGTTTGAATTTTTTTTTAATAAACTTTATTGACTTGGGTAATTATGGGTTTTTAGTCTTAATTCCAATTTTAATTAAATTGTGGTTAATTTTTTATTTAATTTTTCTTTCTTATTTTATTTATAAGTTTATGACTTTTTATAGATTGATTTAAATGTTTTAATGATTTGATTTTGATTTTATTAATTTTAATTTCGATTTATAGTTATCATTTTATCTTTTCCTATATCAGAAGATAAATCCCATTTTGGCCTAATGCGAGCGTCATGCCCAATGTGCTCTTTATTAACCAAGGATATAATTATCTAATGAATTATGAAAGGATGAATTATGAAAGGGAAAGGGAAGTACAAACTGTCTAGAAGATTTGAGTCGCGATGGTCAGAGGGTTGCTTAAGCTATTCTAACCTCATGGGAACTCAACTCATGTATCAAATGACTTGAATCTAACCAGCTCAACCAAAGGGTTTAGAGTCAAGCATATGAAACCATAAGGAGTGAAGATATGTTTGAAGTTATATTGTGGTTTGGTTCCCCCATTAGTCCTTTAAGAAAGCCACTAGGAAAATCCTAAGGCTAAATTCTAAGCTCTAGAGAGAGAGGAATGATGTGATTGACCTCATCCAAAAATGAGGTCAACATAATAAAAAGTCTAAGCATCTGTGTAAGAAAGGATCATCAACTTTTGGAATAAGAATGTAGAGATGTTCAAATCATTGCTAATAATTTTGAATAGAAGAGTGTTTCAATAATTTGATTAATTATCTATTATGTTCTATGTGGTATGAAGGACCAAAACCCAAACATGCTAGTTTTTTGAATTTATGGTAGGTTGAGATTTGCTTCTTTTCCACTTATAACAAAAGATATAAAAAAAAAAAGAAAAGAAAAAGAAACATGGACAGGAAGTAGAGGCAAACAAGGAAAACTATCTTCTATATTGCTTTCTTTACAACACAGTTTATTTATACATACTCTCATTTAGCTAATTCAAACAATCCTTATGTGATTTCTATATTTTTTTTAAAATATCAAGTTCAACTAAAGAACATAATAATAATAATAATAATAATAATAATAATAATAATAATAATAATAATAATAATAATAATAATAATAATAATAATAATAATAATAATAATAATAATAATAATAATAATAATTTTATACAATATTATTTGTGATTAAAATCAAATGTATAATGCCCCACCAGTAAGTCATATGAAACCCTTAAATCAGGTTAAAGACCTTTATCGCCATGTAGTCAGCTTTGGCCTCAAAATTGAAAGTATATCAAATGACTCTTGATGCTTGATTCTCCTTAGTTCATGTTGTTTCCCATCTTATGTTGCCTTAGTCATGCTTACTTTGTACCTAAGTAAGCGTAGCACCCCTTGTTTTGTTATGTAATATATGCTAGAAATGATTCAAACAATTTTAATTTTCATATTTGGTGTGATGGATTAAATAAAAGTAAATCATCATCAAATCATTCTTATGAGTTTATTAGTTTCAATCTCAAATTCATTACTAGGTTGAATTCTAGTTTAACATAGCCGATCAACATTCCTAGCATGTATTTTAAGCAAAGTAGGATTAACATAGAATTACCATAAAACTCCTATTAACTTTGCAAAATTCATAAGAAGAGGCCCTATACTATCCAAGCCTTAAAATCAAATCATTTCTCTCGAATATGATCGATTAGATTTAATCTTAGAATATCCCTAACTCTGGATTAATCCTAATTTGACCTAATAAACATAGTGGGGAAATTTTGAGCATCACATCTTGCTCAATAGTTTATTTATAACAATATTAATTGTTTTTATCATTTGAACTTTGAATTTGGACTATGATTCAATGTTTAATATATGTTGAACTTAGGTCTAAATACCCCAAACTTTGGACCCTATTTTTTGTTTTGAATCATTTGAATGAATTGAGTGGACAAACCACTTTCATACAATCTTATCATCAAAATAGCAATGAATTGACCACTGAGCTAGGTTAGGACCACTTGAACCATTGTTCAACCTAATTAAAACAAACTAGGTCAAAAGGACCCAAATCCCGAAGTTAATAAAATTGACTTGAGTTGAGCATTCCAATATAATTTAATAATCTATAAATTAAATAATTAAGAAAAATTAACATTTGTTGAAGCCGGCCCTTGAGTCTAACAAAAAATATAAATAGGTTCTAATAAGTTATAATCTTCTATGAATAGTTTGTCCACTCTAGAAAAAAAGGCTGATTTCGCCATTGAAAATCAAGATGACAAAAGGATGAACTATATATTTTAGATTCAGTCAACTGATGTAAATTTAAAAAAAAATCATCAAAATATAAGCCCTTTTTAAAAAGGGCCATTTACATGCATACCACATAATTCTTATGTATTTATGTTTATAACACTTAAAATTTGATACTTACTTCATGACACTCAAATCATTAACATAACATAAAAAATATCGTGCAACTAAATTTTTGAAAATCAAACACTTTTTCATGTATAAGTTTATAGTACCAAGTTGCTATAAATGTAAATATCATAGTTTAGGTGTTAGTTAAGAATTTTATTATTTCAAATCAAATATTTAAGAACTCAAAACTTATATATATTTCTTTTGCTCCCACAATGCATGAAGGGATTGTTTTGTTGAATAAATTTTTGAGTAAAATAATCAAGCACACATCTCGTTCGAGTTCAAATTGACCTACTTGGGATCTTGTTCAGTCACACTCATAAGGCCTGCACAACAGTTTAGGCTGAAGTTAGTAGGATTTAGCAAATTCTATAAATCTGAATATTGTAAATATTGGAAGGGCTAAATCTGTGGAAACTAATTTAATAAATTTAGTTTAATCTTGTGAAACTATTTGGTAACTTATGTGCGGATTTAAAAGTTTGTTATAATTAAATATCATAATTAAAATTTAATTATTTTATTATTATGACAAAAATTATTAAATTAATTAATTTAAACTTTATTTATGATCATACAAACTAATAATTAATTGTTCAGTAAAATAATTAATTATTAAAAATTCTATCAAACTAATTACATAATGAACAATTATTTGACTTTAAACAAATACTAATTATATTAATCAAGAATATATTTTAAATTGACTAACTATCAAATAATTTAAATTAAAAATGTCTTTTTTAAATTAAATAATTAATAGAAGGTCACAAATAAATTTATCTAATCATAATTAATATGATAATCTATTAATTAAAAATTAATTACTAATCAATTAAGTTAAAGAAATTAACTTAAATAAAGCTAAATTAAAACAACAATCCGATCTTCTCTTCCCCTCTCCCGCCCAAAACGCTCGCCTTCGTCCCCACCCCCTCCTCGCAACCCACGCGATACAGTCGCAACTAGAGCTAACTGGGAAGGCAACGGCGGGCGGGATCGCGGCGTACAGAGAACCGAAACTCCCATCTCCTTCTCCTTCTGCACTGCTCCTACCCGAAACCATGGAGGCAGATGGACGAAGGTAACTTCATTTCTTCCTTTTTATCGCCCGTCCCGGATTTACTAAATCCGCCGATTCACGGGTGAGATTGACGGCCGAAATCAGTACGTCATACGGGGATTTATGAAAACCGCCGTTTTCTTTTGTCCAAACTGATAGTCTGGCAGGATTCAGGTCAAATCTAGGTTAAATCCTGCTCTAAATCCGTTACCAGACAGCCCCTAGGCGATCTACCTGCGCGTCATCCGGGGTTTTTGACTGTCGAGCCAAAGTTCTCCTTTACTTTCCGCCAATCGGTTGATCGAGGTTGGATGAAAATGGCGTCAGAGAAAGCCCTTGATCTTCTCCGGCAGAGGCTATGCGACTCCTCTTTCGTATATTCCGCTTTCAAATCCACTCCGGACGGAAACTACAGGTTTTTTCACTTTAATCTTGTCCCGAACTATCGTTCATGCTGTATTCTTTCTACGAATCCTCTCTAACTTCACATCCTTGTTTTTTTTTTTTTTTTGTTGGTTTTTAGTAAGTTGAAGTTCCTGATTTCGAACAGTATTGCTGAGGCCTGCAACAACTCCGTACTCCTCCTTGGTCCCCGTGGATGCGGAAAGGGAGAGGTGAGTACTTAACTAGTGAATGTTGTTAGGATTTGTTCTCGTACTTTTTAAGCTCTGGATTGCTGCACAAGCTGAACAAAAAGCTGAAAGTGATTTGGAATCGCTTTAAGGACTGCCTAATTTGACTTTAATAAGACTACGGTGGCATAATACGGAGCAACGAAAGTATTATGTTATTGGAAATATAAAAACACAAACCGAGTTTGTTTGGTGTCATTTTTGCAGCAGCACTTTCTTTCAGTTTTTCTTAGGAGCTTTCATTCCCGAGGCTGAACTCGTGCGTGCTGTATGCCTTCAATACAATAAGCATGAATTTCACTTTATCGTGTGTTGATTTTTTGATATTTTTAGGAGATTGAACAAGAGCAATTTAAATATGCAATTGTTTTGACGATCAATTTAGTGTACTGCTTTTTTTTCTTGTTAAGATTTGGCAGGATTTGTGGCATTTAGCTTCATACTTGATTTTATTTGTCTTGCCGGGCGTAATTGTGGGGAGACAATTGTATTGGAAACTTTCATGGCGGGACAATTGATACTTTCTTGTTTTCAGTTATAGTCATTTTTCCACAGATTGTTTGCAGCTTTTCTTTGTTTAATGATCAATCGGATAATACAATAGTTGGTTTTCAAATGGAAAACCATCATTGAGTTTCTCCAAATCTGTCATATCCACCCAATGCTCTGAAAAGTTAACAATAATACAGGGAATTACAAAGTACTCTCATGATTCATTTTCGCCAAAATGCAAATTGCTTTGCTGCTGTGATGCACTTGGTTGCAAAGTTTGACGGCGATGCTTATATAGTATAGTTATGTCGCATTGTCATTTGCATAAATAAAAGACTGTGATATGTCAGATATATTAAAAAGAAGCAAATGAAGCATTGCCAAACTGATTTTTTTAGGTAAACAATAAAGTGTTTATATTAAAAAGAAGCAAATGAAGCATTGCCAAACTGTTCTTTTTAGGTAAACAATAAAGTGCTAATAGTTGAATGTTCTCCATACAAGCAATGGACTTTTGATATATTTTGAATTTTTTGATACAGCAAGAAGGATATTTGAGCATATATGATTAGCTACTTCTGTCATGTGCTTGATTTCATTGCCAGGTTGTAGATATGGTCCTTGAAGAATTAAAGAGCGACTTTGTAGAGATAATTTCTGTGGTATGACATCTTTTAGTTGTTTTTGTGTGCATAGGTTTATTTTTCTTGCTATCTTTTTAAGGTAATTCTTATCGTTATGTTTTTTGGTATTGTAGGTAAGGTTAAATGGCTTGCTGCATGCTGATGATAATTTTGCAGTGAAGGTTAGAATCACTCTGCTCGGGGTTTAGCTCCATCCACTTGTTCAACAATTAGTTAATTATGTCCGTGTAAATTATGGATCAATACTTGCATTGTTTTTGCTCCAAAAAAATTAAATAAAAGTTCTAAAGATATATATAATCATTTTATTTCACCTTATGACATGCTTTCTGCATTTGAAGGAAATTGCCAGGCAATTGTGCATGGAGCACAAGTTAATTTTCTCTAAAATGGTACCTTCTCCGACCATTCTTTTTCCTGAGAAATTACCGAGCTTCATTTTTAAGAATCATGATAAAGACAGTACATGTTATTCAATGTTTTTTTCCTCTCAAGTAGGCTTCATTTGATGATAACTCTCACTTCATGATAGACATGTTGAGGTGAGTTTATATTATCATTCATGAACTTCTTAGCTTTTCAACCGTTGTTACTGCTTCTTTATCTTCCTATATTTCATCTGACACTGATCTCTAAAGTTGCTTATTTTGCTAGAGAGTGTGGATTAGCTCACAAGATGATCATTTTTGTATTGGATGAGTTTGATCTTTTCACCCAGGTAGATCCAATTATAAGTAATAACCCACATGGTTCTTTTGATTCTCTTTCTCTGTGTTTTTTTTTGGCTGATGGCATCCCTTAAGATTATCAAGTCTTAGGTTCTTTTGATTCTCTTTCTCTGTGTTTTTTTTTGCTGATGGCATCCCTTAAGATTATCAAGTCTTATGCTTTATATAGCTTATAAACTTTAGTAAAATAATATGATGTTGCTTGTCCACGATGATTCATTCAAAGTGTATGGAAATCTATGTTTGTTGCAAACGATATACCAGTTTTACAATATCTTAAACTTATTCATATTATTTTGTTTATTGTTGAATTTGCAGGGGAAGCAACGATTTCTATATAGTCTACTAGATGCAATGCAAACTTTGACCTCCCAATCAGCAGTTATTGGCATCAGTTGTCGCATGGTAAGGAGCATGCAACTTTGTTTTAATTTTCTTTATCTCACTGTTCTAATCTTGTAGTGAAACTATTAATGCTGTTAATATCATTTTTGCTTATTTATTCAAATCAAATTTTTTTGTTAAACCTATGGCAGTTTCTAATACTTTGCAACCCTTATTTTGCTTCAAAGAAATTCTATAACACAATTTGTTGTGTTTGTAATGTTGACGGGAAAATGCCCTAACATGTTTACCCTCTTAATGTCATAGCTATGGAGAACACATTTACGGAGCATGTTGTTACTTCTATGATAGTAATAGTGAATTTTTTTTTGTAATGTAACAGTTAACGTAATCACCAAAATTGGCCTTAGTTTTCTATCTCTAATTGATTACAATGGAGTGGATTGGATTGTTTGTGTTGGGGAGGAAATTATAGCCACTAAAATATTCCAGCTATGTCGATCTTGGTAAACCATTTAGGATTTGGCATGCTCAACTAGTGTATTTTGTTTAGTATAATATCAGCTTTCAATCCTATACTTCTATTGTTTCCTTGTTGGGCTGTTTGCAATAGGATGCAGATCAACTTCTAGAGAAAAGGGTTAAATCACGGTTCTCACATCGGAAGCTGTTGTTCACGCCACCATCAACTGAAGATATGCAGAGGTAGACTTAATATATTTTTAAATGTTGAAGTTGATTATATGCAAATTTGATTTTATTGTTCAAGTCTTATGTAGATTGCTGGAGCACCTTTTATATTTGCCAAAAAAATCAAGTTTGCCTTCCAAATATGTCAAGGAATTCAACTCAAACGTCCATGTATCCTCATTCATGCCCTGCGTTGAGCAAGATATAAATATTTTGGAGCCAAGCTGTTTCAACTGATACATGGTTAAATATTATAGCTTTAACCCAAAACTAAAGATAAAATTTTAATTCTATTATTTTTTTTGCAATCTTGGTCTTGTCTTGGATGCCACATCATGATCATGTTGTTATTACAGATTCTAGTTATATTTGTTATTGAGGTTGAATTAGTACTTTCCCTGTTCATACTCATATATTAGAAACTAGAAGTGTCAAAATGGTCACCTTTTGCAGTGGCTCATTTTAGTCTTAGAGTTTATAATAATGCTGATTTAGTTTCCATAATCTTTTAAATGAGCTGAATAGTCCCCAATGAGGACTATTTAGCCTCCATTAAAACAAACAGAGGAATAATTTTAGCACTTTTATAAACTTTGTGACTAAAATGACCCCTTATAAATAGTCAGGAGACTATTTTGACACTTTACTCTATATTAAGAAAAAAATCGTTTTCAGGCTGCTAATGCACGAAACGTCACTTTCATCGTAGTTTGTAGCTGTGCTCCTTTTATTGCTATTTTCATATTTAAGCCAACGCCATAGATTACAAATTCTATAGCACCGATCACTTATCAGTGTCTGTTCTGCATGTATTATGAGATTTCACGATATGCTTGATTGCAAAACACCGAAAATGCTTGCAGGCATACGTCATTATACTGCTGCAGGTGTCAAATTTTGTAATTAAACCCTTGACATGTTGTAGAATATTTTAAGTGATAAAAAGTTCAAGGAAATTCTTGATGCATTATCAGCTGTAGATAGTAATACAAGTAATATTCGTCGGTTTCTGTAAGTGCACAGCCGTATGTCTTAATGATTCAACTTTCTGCTATGAGCAAAGCTTATGTTGATTTAATGAAATTAATATTACGTGCAGATATCAGTCTATAAGTCACATCCATTTTGAGTCAGGATTGCTGACATTAGATGGCTTCAAAACTGCACTTTCATGTTTCCGAAGGCAGCCTATGCTAGATAAAATGCAAGGTTAGTCTGTATTGTCAATGTCTTTTTTTGCACCATTTTTGGAGAATCACATAATCTTTAGTCATTTTTGATTGGCTTGCTTTATCCATGTGTATTTATCACTTCAATTTGTCCATATCATCTGCTTAACAGTAAACACAGATGGACTATTTATTGCCAATATTAACATTGCCTTCTGCTTATAGGGTGTAGCAGTTTATAACCACCAACAATTATGTCTAATTTGATTAGCTTAAACATTCAGCACTATGGCATCATATATTGCTTTTTTCTTGTGGTTTTTTCCAGCATTTTATTCCCACATCAAATATCAGCTATATAGAAAATAGAAGTAATTTTCTGCGGTGTTTTTTTTCCTTCAAATATAGACATTTATGGCTCTTTTCTGGAATATTTATGTTGAGCTACTCTCCAATATATGCTATTGCAGAAGCCACACTTGCTATAATGTCATGTAGGCCCTCCTTAATTTATCGCTTTCATCAGAAGGCACAAAAAGTGACTGCTTTTGGACTAATTCCTTATATGTTACTAGCGCAAAATAGAGAATATTCCATCTAATTTCCTAGTCAAATAAATGAAACAAGCTGGAGTTTACAAAGCTTGTTTTAAAATGGGGACAAAACTTGTTTATAAGAGGGAAAAATAAAATGTTCTTTATTTGAATAAAAATGATGGTTCCCATGAACAGCTACATATCTTCTCCTTCTTTGGTTTCCCAGATAACCAAGCTATTATTTTATTCAAATATAAGATAAAGTTTACTCTTTGCTTGTAAAATTACAGCTGATCAAACTTGCTCCATAAACTAGGCAAAACAATACATCTTTTTCTATTTTAGGTACCCAGATCTCTTTCCTTAAGGACATCAACTAAATGCAGAGGTTTTATTGTGATAGGCATTCTATTTGAACTCAATTGAAAGTATGGTTTATATTTAGACTACTTAGTAATTGTGATCATTAAATTAATGTTTTGAGTCTCCTTGCATCATGTAGGTCTCAATACTACATTAAATGGTCCATCATAACAACTTTAATCAATCAAAAATCAATCCACATAGATAATTATGGATTGCCTCCCACAAAGCGCTTGGTTTAACTTCATCAGCTTAACTTATTTATATTTTACTTTGGGTGACTGTTGACCTCACTTTTGGTTGAGGTTCAATTTTTTCTCTTTAGTAGCCTAAGGTCTAGCCACAGGGCTTTGCTATTGACTATTCTTAGAAAACTAGACAAGAAACGCTCACCATTAGAAAACTAGAAGTATGGTTTATATTTAGACTACTTAGTAATTGTGAAACCTACAGTCTTAAGATTTAGAAAATTTTATTAAAAGATATAGAGTGAAGTTTCATGCAAGCTAAATCTTTGAATATCTAGATATTATTACTTTTTTGCATCTGTGTAAATTTATCATATAATTATAAAAATCATGAAAGCTTATATCCTTGGTTAGGATCTCCAGTTGAGAAATTTGAATAAAATTATGAGCAAGTGTTATAAACTTAATTATCAGTTTACTTCTCTTGGATAATACAAACATTGTTCAATTACATCTAAACTAGCAATAACAATACAGTGATTGATCTCTGAAGTTCCCTTTGCCTGATCCTATGCAAGTATTTGAGTATGATGAGCTAATTTATGATAATGACCTTTATTTATAATATCTTTATGTAGGATGAAATTATTTTGAGCACTTTACAAACTTGGACTCCACGTTCGAACATTAACTTTGTCTCTGATTTGACTTTAAACTGCAGCTTGAATCTGAGATTAATTTCTGTCTAATTCTATGTAGCTTATGCCTACTAATGCTGCTAGCTTACCTTACGCTTTCCTAGTTTGACCCCTAAGTTGTTTCGTTTTGAGATTCCTCTTATGCAGGTTCTTCAATGTAACATTGATTTAGTATTTGATTTTAAAAAGTTTCTAAATACAATTTATGGAAATAACATACATAACATGTTAAATTGCAAGGTAAGCTCGTGATTTCTTTATTGATTACTTTATGAAGTCTTGATTTCTTTTTTTTTTTAATTTAATTGATTGATTCTAAAGCTTAAGTTATCATGTTTGATATTTTCAACAATCTTAAATTTATTTGTGGATTTTTGTTGCTAATGACAAAATTTTGTGGAGCTTTTTGAGTGCACACTTTGCGCTTTACTCAACTTTTGCCTCCTCGTGGACTTGTTATGGTATATTCCTTATACAACTTAAGGAATTTGCTTGTTTGCCTGTATATTAATTATTTTCTACTATATTATTTATTATTCAAGTGTATGTGCTATTATTTAACTGTAGGAAACCATGCCATATGCATTATCTTGATGTTTTAAATGCAGCATATGCTCCCAATCATGTTTGGGGTTATAGTGAAGCAAATAACTTTATTTTATACTTTCCCAACCTAAAATGCAGCATATGCTCCCAATCATGTTTGGGGTTAAGCAAATAACTTTATTTTATACTTTCCCAACCTACTTTGAACTTCCATATATAAGAAGCATCCTATCATTGCCGTTGAGTCTTCCAAATTTTTAGAGAAGTTGATCATATTTCATTTGTCTTGGTTTGCTAATTAACAAAACTATTAGTCCAAGGCACTCGTGAGCCTCCATTGTATTTTTATTTTTATTTATTATTATAATTATTTTTTATGTTTCAATATGTGAATTTTTTGGTATTACCAATAGGTTCCTTGGAGATATTGCCACCTAGTAGTACCTTGGGCATACCTCCTATATTTCTATGATCTCTAATCAACAAGTAATGCCACTTGTTTCCTAAGTTGTCTAGTGTATTTCCACTTGCACTTTTAGGAATACATTGCTTCGAAGCTTGAGGCAATTAATGACATCCCTCTCATGCATTTTTTAAACTTTTAGTCACCATGGAAACATAAAGAAAAGTTCCATTGTTTTTTATCTTATGAATAAGTGTAAGTTTTCAGGATTTATGTGTTTGCTTTCTAAACCAAGTTTCAAGAGTCATTTGCTTTGCTCTTATAAATCATCTGCTTATAAGAGACACCTTGGGCGACTGTCAGATTCAGGGTCAACTTAAGAGTTCTTTTTCACACTATTTATTGACTGATAACAATATTTTTGCTGCTTTTAGATTCAATCTAATCTTTTCAGGTTCTTTGGTCTTGCATGCATTCAGATTGAAATTATAAATTTAATAGTCATTGGGATTACTACTAGAACTTCATGAAAATTTTAATTTGTAAGTTTTCACCCTTATGCAATCTATGGTTTATAGGGTCCCTCCTTTCTTATTATTAACCAATCTATGCCTAAACTAAGATGTGAAAAATTATGAATTAGATCTTTTGTATGTGCTTTTATGCATTCCATCCTAGGTATGTATTGAAGTAACTTGAACTCGAGGATTTTCTACGCTACATTCTTTCTTTTGAAGAGTTTATGATGCTATTTGAGACATGCATGCTGACTTGTGCCCTTTTATTTGTGTCTCCATTTGTTTTTTTTGGTGCCCTTCCCTCTCACAGTTATGAAAAATCACTTATTATTCTTGCTTCCATCCCAAATAAGGATCTGCTTGTCTCATGATCTTCGAAAGTTATTGCGGTCATTTGGTAGGCCTCCATATGTCGCCTTTTTATGAGTATAGCTATTGGTGATGCTATTGTGCTATTATAGTAAAACTAGTTTTCATTTGTTCCAAAATCGTCTAGGACGGACGCGAGAAATTTTGAATTGGATATCTGGACTAGTCTATGTTGACCGGCTAAGCAAGCCCAGTCTCTAGGACCATTGGTCCTTTTAGGACCTTCTTTCTTCCTTATTTGGCACTTAAATTAAAATAATTTGCTTGGGAATTCTATATGTATTTGTTTGTCGACTGACTTGAGACAACCGTGATTTTGGTTTTTGCTAGTTTTGAGATTTCTTTGCATATTTTTTTCTTGGAGTGTTGTAATCTTGTTCTTACAAGTGGTGTGTCTGTATCATGTTAGAGTGCAGGCGGTGGATCCCCTCCCCGATGTTTGTATGTGGATCGTCTTCCCGACATTTGTACTTCTCCAGCTCCATTGTGGTTCCTCGTTGTTTCTTTCTCAGAACATCATCTAGTGCCTTTTCTTCTATTTTGTATCTTTGACAAATAACTTATTTTCCACTTCTCACATCCTACAATTTTCCCAACATTTGTTATGTCATTTGATAACAGAGCTATCTAAACCTTAAATGTTTAGGATTTTCTATTTTCACTTCAAAAGCTAATTCCACATAACTGAATTCATCTATCCAAACAAATACCCATTTCTAATTCCAACTCTAATTCTAAACCATTTAAGTATCTTTCAAAATATTACAAATATGATATGTTCTTGAGACTTCACCATCCATAATAGGACTTATCAGTATAGTGTTGTCGCCACTATTTTGGTTGGAGGAGTAGCCCGTTAGAAGCTGTCGGCCGGAATCGAAATCCCGTCGCCCGCTTCTGAAGGATATTTTGATTTATATATATATATATATATATATATATAGTTTAGAAAAATATGAAATCAAATTGACATCATGTTTTTCACAGTTTAAATGAAAGAGCACTGTACCTCAAACCCTGTATTTATTCCGAAGGATAAATACAAGACTTGAGGGTGAGACCGTACTCGGCAAAACAGTTGGCACGATGACAGTGTATCCGGTAGTAGGAGTAAAAAAATTTCTTGGAGAAACCTCAACGATCCCAATAACAGACTTTTCAACACTAGTAGGGCTTTTTTCAATCAACACCTTTGAAGGGGAGAATTCTTTGATAGACTTCAAGTTGAACTCTATAATAGGCTCCACAGTCTTATCTATTTCAAACTTCATTACTGTGACAGCAACCATTCCAAACTTGACTCCAATATCATCGAACCCTTGTCCAAACTTCATAACTGCCATGTCAGGCAGTTCTTCCCTGTTGACAACAAACTCTATTCTAAAGGAAAAAGAAAAGGTAAACCTAGGCGAAGACATTATCCCAGTCATTTGAAGAATTTTTGAAAGTCAGCGATTTCCCGAGCCTTGCCGTTTTGACAGAAGTACTAAAGAAAGTGAGGGTTTACATTTGTATGAAATGATCACACAAATATCTTGGAAGATGTGAGGATTTAGATCGTGACGGACGACAACCTCGGAATCCTAACACAGGTTAGGGCTTATATTGTACAACAAAGTTGTATAAAGGCTTAAAGAAAGGTTGGGGATTTATATTGTACAACAGAGTTGTATCAAGATTAATGTAATGTTAATATGCATGCTTAAACTAATTTTATTAATCAAATCGCCATAACTTTAGGGTATGGTCATATGACCTATTTTTGGGTTATCCTTGTCATTATGCGTTACAAGACAGTTCTTCAAATGTTAATATTTCTGGAAACTAATCTATTTCAAATAAAATAACTATAAAGTTTGTTGATAGTTCTTCCATTGTATGTAGCCCCCAACCCAAGTTAAACATGGGCTAGCTCTCATACTAAAAAGCCAATCAATCATAATCAAATCCACTAATTAAAACAATAATAGCAAAAAAAATCCCATGCATCTTGGATATATATTTCTTTGACTCAAATTGAAACTCATGGATATTTGATGGCCATGTAATGCTTTGAGATTTTATTGTTCATGCTTCGTGCCTCTAAATCACAATTAACAATGTGTTGTTCTTCTAAAATATTCGACGGAACTAATAAGACAAGCCCTATGCTTGTAAATGAGTTGATTTTGACATCAAAAAGCATACCTTTGACCAACTCACACAGATGTTTCCACATCAATGTGCTCAAGGCACCTAAGAGGAGGCTACTAATGATTGCTAATTGAGTTTCTTGGATGTTTAGGCCAAAGCTCTTTGATTTTGGCTGAATGGATCCAGTCGTATATGTGGAATGACAGAGCCATGCAATATTGGTCTGGATATAACTACCTCTTTTATCGAGAGTTATCTTCTGCCAGCAAGAGAATTTACTTTTGGTTTTGCCTATAGAAAGACTTCACCCCATATCCAAATACGATAATGCATCTAGAAAAATGTTTTAAATTAAACCAAGTTGCCTCAAGAAAAAATTACCCACGTGTCTTTTGTTACACATCAAGGAGGCTTGAGGTTTGGGGCTACGTTATTAGACATCGACGCCATGTTGATTAGACATTTTAAGGCTTTATTTGAAGATATATATCTAGGGAATATTTGGATCTATTTCTCTTTTTTTTTTCAATTTCCTATATTTATTTGTTTGTTTCTTTATTTTCTTGTAATTTTAGGATTCTTTGCATAATAAATAGGACCTTGGGGATATGTTGAGATATTGTTGTTGAAAGAAAATTATTTAATCAAGACCTGCCCAGAGGTCCCTCCTCAGCGTCCATCCCCCTTTTTATCCAAAGTATCAATGTGACTTTTTCAAATGAATTCATACATGGAGTTTTATTAACAGATGGATTGTATGCTGAGATGTTATTCGTGAATGATAATTATTTGTGCAATATTTAACCCCCTTTTCTTCTTTATCTTCTCATCCTCTCTTCTGCTTGGATCCCACCTCAAAACCCACTTTTGTACTTTTACCCATGATATTACCTTTGCTTTTGTTGATAGATTATGTATATTTGATTTAAGGGATATATACAAATGATTGTATATATATCTTGGGGCATACATACATACCGCCCAATTCCAATGTATTTACATATCTAACGCCTAAACTTTCAGTTTTTTACATTTATACCATCCAATCTTTCATACCACATTAAAAATGGCGCCATTTTAACTTTTAAAGTGTGAAACAAACCTTTTCATGCATAAGGTTACATATATGTAAAAATTAAAGTTTAGGCTTTAGCTATGTAAATACATAAGAGCTGAGTGTGTATGTAAATCTTCCTTAAATCTATTTATAGCTGATATCAGACTCCAATTATTTATTTACTCACTTATTAGACACTGACGAAACCATTACAAAGTCTTGCAATCAGAAGGACTTTTCCTCTTGATATTCTTTTTTCCAGTTGTTCCTTACCGCTTCTCATAAGAATTGGATTTTAAATCTGAAGTTTAGTGAATGACTGGAAAACTAATGGGATTTTTAATGATTTTTATATGATTAATAGGCAAGATCCAGAACATGAATTATTTAGCGGGCATTATACAAAAATAAATAGACAATTGGAATTACTTTTTGAAGATCCGAGTGTGAAACATGCCTAGAAGGATTGCTAACATGTCTAAGTGCAGATACGATAGATATAAGGGAGATGGAAAGCTATTTGAAATAAATGAAGAAAATGAGTGATCAGTGGTAACATGGTTGTGAACTTACAATGGTTGGCTTTTCGTGAATGAAGCAGTAAGGAGCTGGCAATAGATGACATTTAAGTTATTAGGATTTAGTTAATCCCGTAAATCCGGATTTACTAAATTTTGAATGGTTTTAATCCGAAAGAACTTCTTGGTAACGGATTTACTTAATCTTGTAAATCCAGCATAAGTGGTGGCAAGTAGAACAAACCGCCAAATCCTGTAAATTCACAGATTCGTGGGATTCAGTAAATCACTAAATCTGGGATTTATGGCCGAAATCCGTGATATCCGGATTTATCAAATCTGCAGCTTTATTTTGTCCAAAATGACCGTCTGGCAAGATTTAGCCTGCGTCTACGTTAAATCCTACCCTAAATTGTTGCCAGACAGCCCCTAAGTGATTTCATACAACACTATTTTTATTTTTCATATTGCATTTTTGTGCTAACAGATTTTGATATTTTCAAAGTTCTAATAAAAAAAAAAATTTTTTTATCAACTTGTGCTAAATTTATTTAAACGTCTATGTTTTGGTCTTGTTTTGAATCACCTAATATCTTTTTTTTTTGTCTAGATGCCTCCATTTTGGAACTCTACATTTTAGTTTGCATGTATAGACTGGGGAGCAGAGAGCAGAATTCTTTCAACTTCAATTCCATTATGAAAGGTGGAAACTAATTCTGTTTTCACTCCCTGTATAGAGTATAGTTCCTATTCATAATTGATTTCTGACATTTCTTAATAAATGTTTTTAATGGCAGAGTACAAGTCCATTCAGGATGCCTACAAGACTTCTGATAATTACTCATGGAGTGTTTGTCTAAAGGTGGGTGTAATAAACTCATGGGATCATATCTCACACCTAAACTTCCATATTTAAATACATAAAACTATACATGAAAAGATGTATTTCACTTTTAAAAATTGGTAATAGTGCTATTTTTGATGTGATACTAAAGATTTCTGTGCTATGCGTGAAAATATGGGTGTGGATATGTAAATACATAAGAATTATGTGCTATGTAAATGCCCTACACTTAATTGCACCTCACACCTAAACTTCCATATTTAAATACATAAAACTATACATGAAAAGATGTATTTCACTTTTAAAAATTGGTAATAGTGCTATTTTTGATGTGATACTAAAGATTTCTGTGCTATGCGTGAAAATATGGGTGTGAGATATGTAAATACATAAGATTATGTGCTATGTAAATGCCCTACACTTAATTGCAAAATTTTTTTGTTAGCCCAAATGATAAAGCTGACCTCTCATGTTATGCAGGCATTTGAGCATCTTATAGATTTTGAATTAATTAGTCTTTCAGACAACAGAATGAGAAGCCTGTCTATTGAATACCGTCCTGTGAGGCTGTTGTTATCTTCCCAAGAACTGTATCAGGGTCTCAAATCAAACGCTTTTTGCCCTGTAAGTCCCATCTATTGTTGCTCAAGTCTGGTACTATTCCTTCAATTATTTTCTCTTGGTTCATACTTGTAGAGCTTTTTCTTTTTTTAATTTTTTATTTGGGGCATTTACATAACATAGCAATCAATTCTTATGTTTTTACACTTCTAACATCTAAACATTCATATTTACATGCATACCACTCAAACCCTTATTATCACCATCACCTTTTCATGCATGGATTTATGACACCAAAGTCTTACTAGAGTAGATATCAAGCTATGGGTGTTAGATATGTAAATACATAAGAATTGTATGGTGTCTATGTAAATATAAATGTAAATACATAAGAATTGGATTGGTATGTATGTAATTTTTCTTTTTTGTTTTAAATTTTTATTTGTGTTTTATTTTGGTTATGTTTTATTTACAATAAAATATATTTGGCATTTAAAATATAGTTATTTTTAAAATCACTCAAAATAATATTTAGATGTTTTCAATGTTTTAAAAATAATTAAATAATTGAAAAAACAACACACATGTGGTCTATTGGTAGAGCAGTCTCAGGGTGATTGAGGGCACCGCCAATTGTGGTCTATTGGTAGAGCAGTCTCAGGGTGATTGAGGGCTCCTATAATAGCTTTCAACCATTGAGTTCTTATTTTTTGTTTTTTTGGTAGGAATTAAGTTCAGTCATGCTTAAATGCTACACAAATTTGTTTGATTTGTAAATAGCAAGTTTCTGGTGACCTCTATATAATTGGTGCAAAAACTGTAATCATTAGGCTTGCTATAAAGCAATAATTGCATCGCATTGATTCTTAAATATTTGTGATGAGAAAATATAGTGATCAAGCAAGTTAAGAAAGCACTCTTCTAACTTAAACAATGAGAATACAATTAATAAATAAGATATTTAGACAAATACCACCCTATTCTTATATTTTTTATATCTAACACCTAGAATCCCAAATCTTTTATATCACAAAAAAAAAATATATATTATTTTAACTTTCAAACGTTCTAACTTAAACAATGAGAATACAATTAATAAATAAGATATTTAGACAAATACCACCCTATTCTTATATTTTTCATATCTAACACCTAGAATTTCTTTTTTTTTAGATTTTAAACAACCCAAATCTTTTATATCACAAAAAAAAAAATATATTATTTTAACTTTCAAACAGTAAAACATCATGCATAATTACGTTGATTTGAAGAACTGATAGGTTTGCATGTAAATCTAATTAAATTTATGCCCAAAGGATTAAAGCAACTTCTATTCATTACTTTAATAAAAAAAAAATTTTTTTTTAAAAAACAATTCTAGTATTTACAATGAGAATACTTAATTATTCAATAATAAGCATGTATTTTTATATTTTTTTAAAAATAGCAAATTATTTTGAACTAATTGCAAATAAAATGTATATCAATTACGTTTAAAATAATCTACAATATTTTTTTTTAATTAGGCAAGTTAATTTTGTGGTTACTTCTATTAGCCCGATGAATTCTAAACTAACTACATCTATGAAACAAGTATGATACAGCTTCCATATTCATCCTCTTAATTTAATCACCCAAAAGTATCTCCCCCCAGAAAAAAAAAAATTCCAATATGACAGCCCCCTAATGAAAACTACCCCCTAAAAATATGTTTACCTTTCTAAAAAATAACAATGCAACATCCCATTTATGTCAATGACTTGGCTGCACTCCAAAATATAGAGAAAATTGTTGAGTGGCAAAGCATGATGTCCCTAGAGAAACCACTCAAGGCAGCTCTGCGTGTGTACTCCATTAACCCTACAATATCCCCATAATAACCTATGAATAACATCGAAATAAATCCATTTAAGATTATTAGAAGGTTATTAGTGTTATAGGTTATTGAAATTAATACCTCAATAACCTCTCAATAACCCCCTAATAACCGCGAAGCGGAGGTTATTAAGCACACAACTCTGTGTGTATTACGTACACAAATATTCCCCCCACTCAGTAGGGTAATTCTGCAAAATATCTAAACCCGCATCATTTTATAACACAGTTACGACCAAATAGCATTATTCGGATAAGATAAAACATCTCCACTTCCTAAAATCCACTGGCCAAAAAGATAGGGCATAAAATAGTATAATTTTACAAGAAATAAGTCTATCAAATATAAAAGTATCACAAAATACAAGGCGAGTCACCAGAAATTACACAGCATGCTCAAATCTAAGCCACATTTCCAACTTTTTGACAGAAACATTCTTATTGTCTTTCACAAAATGGAAAAATACTGCAAAAAGGAAATAAAGACAAGGTTCAAAAGAAAAATTCTAACGGAACATATTTACAGTTGGAAGAACATGCAGTAGTAGAAACCTTGGCAAGTATCTTCAGAAGGGTAGATCAGAGAACAGAAAGAGAGAGAGTAAGAGAGAGGGAGAGAGGGAGCAGAGTTCACATAAATTACAACATGTAAACCAGGATTCCTATCAGAGCAGCATAAGAAAGTATTTAGGACATAGATCCAGTTGTTCTAAGGAAAGCCTGGAACAATAAAAAATAAACATAAGAGTGTATGATTGAGAATATTTATTTAATTAGGGATTGTGATGCATAACTTCAGAACAAATTGATGAAAAAAGAAACTGTGATTACCGATTTGGTTGCATCAAGAGACTGCCGCTGCCTTATCCTTTTCTCCCTCTGGCACTCACCACACCAGCTGGAGAAATCCTTCTGATACTTTTTCATTTCTCTGAAGGCCGAGCTGTGGAAAGATTACACAGACATCAACAAAATGCTTGGTGAAAATAGTATTATAAATAGGAATATTTACATACATACCACTCAATTCCTACCACTCAATTCCTTAATTCCTTTGTATTTACATATCTAACAGCCAAACTTTAATTTTTACATACATACCACCTTACCTGTGAATATAAGTGTATTTCACTTTTTTAAAAGTTAAAATGATATTTTTTGTTTTGATATGAAAATTTGGGTGGTCCATATGTTAAAAAAAATAAAGTTCAGGTGTTGGATAAGTAAATGCATAGTAATTGGTTGGTATTTATGTAAATGCCACTAATAAAAAACAGCAAGTTATGTGAATGAAGATATAAGCAGTGTGTGCGTGAGCGTGTAGCTGAGAGGACTCGTAGAAAAGTTGGGCCACTCTGGAAAAAAAATAACAACGGGACATAAAAAAGTTTAAAGTAGATAATAAGAGACTGCCTTCAATAAATTGTTAAAAAGATGAATAAATAATAAGCTAAGTGTGGGTGAAGCATAAGTAAATTTAAAATTTTTAATGGATCTTTTTACAAATGCATGGTCAAAGCTGGACAACCTTCAATACAGGATACCTTGATAGCTCAGGTACGACTAGTTTGGGAAAAGCTATAAACAGTTTCAAAATGTTGAATAAGATACCCACTTGATCCCTCATGTCATAAGAGCAGGAAATGTGACATTAAATCCGATTTCATTGCAAGAGAAGGGGCTTATAAACTTCGGAAGTTGAAACACCTTTCCCTCTCCTCTCTTTCAGCTGCTTGAAAGAAAATACAATGTTCATCCAAGCAAGAGATTACTTCTATAGTACCCATTGTTGATAACCACAAAAGCACATTAAGGCCCCGTTTGGGGCAGCTTAAAAGTGTGGCGACATTTTTGAAAATGCCGCCTTAGTGTCTGGTTAATACGTTTTCAGTACGGTTTTAAAACCAGTGTTTCACTATTTAAGGTAAACAATGAACGCAGGGCTATAGACACAGATCGCGTTTTGGCCAGACCATTTTCCTCTGCTGCCCTCGCACTGCTCTCGGTTGCTATGTTCTTCGTTCGCGCGATCGTGCCCTAGCTACCCGAGAAGAAGGCGTAAAGTGGTAAAACAAATAGTGCATCCTCATCTCCTTCCTCTTTTCTTCTTCTTTGTGTTTTCGCACGATCGTGCCCTGTTCTTCTTCTTCTTTGCGTTTTCGGTTGCCCCGTTCTTCGCTCGACCGATCATGCCCTAGCTACCCGAGAAGAAAGCGTATAGTGGTAAAACAAATTCGTGCACGCTCATCTCCTTCCTCTTCTTCTTCTTCTTTGAGTTTTTTGGGTTTCTCCTGTCCCGTCTTGTCCTCCCTCGCCGTGTATTTTTTCCTGTGGGGCAGTATATGGGGTTTCATGGCATTTTGGTGTGATACAACTATTTTTGATTCATGATTACTGTTAGATCCATACGAAAGAGCACCGTTTACATTTTTTTTTTTAGTAAGAAGCAGTTCTTTTAGAGCTTAGTGGTGTGAGATCTTTCAAGTTTTTGAGAAATATGCTCCCACATTTGATCCATAATAATGCCAGAAAATACAACAATTGTGGTTCAAGGTTACTGTGAACACCGTTTAAATTTTTTTGAGTTCTTATAGGGTTTTGAAATTCGGTACTGGTGTTAGCAGTTTCATTTCAATTATTTTTGTTTAATGCAAATCAAAATGAGTGGTCCTTGTATATGCAAATCAAGTTTCATTTCCATTTCTCTCTCATTACTGCAAAAGTGAGTCATCTGCAGACAAGTAGATCTCTGGTGTATTGAGATGCTGATATAACTTAGAAATTAGTTGCAAAACAAAATGAAATGGAAAAATTACATCTTTCCATCTTTTAGTACCACCATGTTATTATTATTATTAGGGTACAAGTATAACAATATTACATTGTATGAGGTGTTGTTAGGAAGGCATTAGGCTATGGAAGATTTGCAGCAAGCTGATGATGTTTGCCAGTTGGATGATGCTATGATTGTTCAATGAAGTATCCTATGGTTGTTCTGTGTTGTGTAACTTGTTGTTTTTCATTATAAGGTTTTAGCAAAGAAATGTGACAAATAGAGTGGATTTGAAGATGAGGAGGTAACTTTAGTTTCTATGTGAGGGGCCTAATTGATTTATGTATTGCAAATGGTTCTATAATGTTGAGTAAACGTGGAGTATTGCTAATTTTGTATCAATGAGGCTAAATTTTGGGCTAAATTTTGATATGCTAAATTTTGATATGAATGAGGTTTCTTAATTTGAATTTGAGATCATATTGGTGTTTGCTAGCTTATGTTGTAGCCAAATGTTGCTAGAAAATACAAAGTTTTTGTATTGCAGTTGATTGTCCTTAGTTATATCAATTTTTTTTCTATTGAAGTTGATTGTCCTACACTGGTACGAAAAGTCTACAGTTATATCATTTTTTTTTTAATTTTAAAAAGCATGCAATACTTGTTGTGAATATGTGATTGTATTACATACATGTCATCTTACCATCCGTTCATGTCACAGTAAAAAATGAGTAAATCTAAAGAGTCCAGATCATCGACTATGTGAGAAAAATAAGCTACTAATATTTTTTTTTGATCTATATCTGAGGGAGGTCGAATTGGGAAATCGACCCACTATTTATTTTAATAAAAAAAGGTTGGCAGAATCTCACGACTAAATTCAAGGAAATAACTGGAATGGATTACGATCGGATGAAACTAAAAACAAATGGGATCAATTAAAAAAAGTATTGGAAACTTTGGAAAGAGCTCAAAAGGAGATCAATTGGATTGTGATAGGATCCACTAAAGCGGACAATTGATGCACCTGAGGAATGGTAAGCAGAAAAGTTAGAGGTAATTAAATCATTATTTCAACGTATTTTCATTTTTCCATCTTTTAGTGCCACCATGTTAGTGCCACCATGTTATTATTATTATTAGGGTATAAGTATAACAATATTACATTGTATGAGGTGTTCTTAGGGAGGCATTAGGCTATGGAAGATTTGCAGCAAGCTGATGATGTTTGCCAGTTGGATGATGCTATGATTGTTCAATGAAGTATCCTATGGTTGCTCTGCGTAGTGTAACTTGTTGTTTTTCATTATAAGGTTTTAGCGAAGAAATGTGACAAATATAGTGGATCTGGAGATGAGGAGGTAACTTTAGTTTCTATGTATCAATGAGGCTAAATTTTGATATGAATGAGGTTTCTTAATTTGAATTTGAGATCATATTGGTGTTTGCTAGCTTATGTTGTAACCAAATTTTGCTAGAAAATACAAAGTTTTTGTATTGCAGTTGATTGTCCTTAGTTATATCAATTTTTTTTCTATTGAAGTTGATTGTCCTACACTGGTACGAAAAGTCTACAGTTATATCATTTTTTTTTTAATTTTAAAAAGCATGCAATACTTGTTGTGAAAATGTGATTATATTACATACACGTCATCTTACCATCCATTCATGTCACATTAAAAAATGAGTAAATCTAAATAGTCCAGATCATCAGCTATGTGGGATAGAGGCTACTAATATTTTTTTTTTATCTATGTCTGAGGAAGGTCGAATTGAGAAACTGACCGATTACTTATTTTAATAAAGAATGTTGGCAGAATCTCACGACTAAATTCAAGGAAATAATTAAAAGGGATTACGATCGGTTGAAATTAAAAACAAATAGGATTAATTAAAAAAAGTACTGGAAACTATGAAAAGAGCTCAAAAGGGATCAACTGGATTGGAATGGGATCCACTAAAGCGAACAATTGATGCACCAGAGGAATGATGGACAGAAAAGTTAAAGGTAATTACATCACTATTTCAACGTATTTTCAGAGTCAAATGTTTTGAATATTGATTACATTTTTCTTGTTGTTACAAGCAGTGTTAGCGACCAAAAAAATCAAATTGACTGGCATTGAACCAGCTTTCGAGGATAAGTTTGTTGGTATGTTTACTAGCGTTATAGCAACAAGAGCTCATTTTTTCACCCCAGGGCCTCACAAACTTAGCACGGGATATGAAGGTCGAGCATATAGGTGATTCAGGAGGTCCCAGTCAAATCCCCGCAGATATCCAATCCACTGGTGGAACAAAGCGTCCCCGACCTGCAAAAAATAAAAAAGGATTTGCATTTGTTAGAGATTCTATTGAGCCCTTGATTGAAACTTGCAAAAATAATTTCAAAATGGTGAAGGACAGCACAAATAATTTTTCTGGACCTGCTTAATAAACTTCGGACCCTTCATGGATTGCATGGTTCATCAAGAACGACAGTTAGAGAGGTGTTGGCAATAACACTTTACATTTTATCCCAGAATGAATCCATTAGAGAAGCTATGGAATTGTTTCAACATTCCTCGGAAAACATAAGTAGATATTTCTCAGTTGGGTTGAATGCGCTAGTGAGTCTGACATGTGAAATAGTCAAGTCAGAGGACCCAACATTCTAGTCCATCCCCACACATGTTGCAAATGACCCTTGATATATGTCGTTCTTTAAGGTGCTTCCCTAATTTAAAGGTCAGTTACTACAATTTTACACATGATTTTCTTATTGATAAATTTGTTCATCACAGTATTGCGTCAGAGCTATTGACGGAACACATGTCGACGCACGTCTTTCTAGCACAGAGAAAGCTGCATACATTGGACGGTACAGATCCCCAATACAAAATGTAATGGCAGTTTGTGATTTCAACATGTGTTTCACCTATGCGATGACTGGATGGGAAAGTAGCGCACACGACAACCGTGTTTTCAAGTTTGCTACTAGCAACAGAAAATATGGTTTCTGTCTAGGTTTAAAGAAAGGCTATGACGTGTTTTACTTTTGACCATCCAAATTTCTATAAATTTTCTAAATACCAGAAAACCTTACCTACTTAGTCACTACTTAGTCGATGTCGGGTATCCTTTACAAAGGGGATATTTGAAACCATATCCAGATACAAAATATCATATACTTGATTTTGAAAGATCGAGCGGAGTTGCATGACACAAGAAAGAAATTTTTAACAAAAGGCGTTCATTCTTGTGTGGTGTGATCGAGAGATCGTTCGTGGTTTGGAAGAAAAAATGAGTTATTTTACGTGATATGTCAACTTATCCATTTCCAAGATAAGTCTAAATTGTAGTGGCCACAATGACAATACACAACTTGATTTGACGACATCATTCCAGGACAGATGTAGAATTTGCCGTTATAGAAGAAGATTTATTGCAAATACCACCTAAGGCATTTGAATACCACGTTGGACGTACCATCCCACAACTCGAACTTGAATCAATAGAATCACACAGCCCAGATGGAGAAGGTGCTTCGGAGAAAGCGGCTTTGAGAGAGCAAATAACAAATGACATAAGCCTAGCCAATTAAACGTTTGTGAATGCTACTTGTTGTGTTTCACTTATGTTTTGAATACGTACTATGTGTGTCGAGCTGCATATCTTTTTAAATGAATTCCTTTTTTTTAGTAACAGACAATATTCAATGGCATGTTTTTTTGTGCTACTCATATGATTTGCAATATTGTATGACATGATTCCATAGTAACTCCATGTTTTGAAGAAGCAGCAGTGAAGTTGCATATCTTTTAAGAATTAATACTATTATTCTTGAAAAGAAGGTTGCATATCTGTGGCATTTTATTTAAGTGCAGTTTTGTACTTGAGTCAATGAGATGCAATTTAATATATGTGAATATCCGTGGGATGGGCAAGCATTTTCCGTGGGATGGTCAAGCATTTTCCGTGAGGGTGCTTTATATTTATTATGTATGAAAATTCATAAGAATTATGTGGTAACGTATATGAAGTCTTTTTGTCATAAATATCAATTGGCTCAAACTTCTGTAGTATACTATGGTTGTGGTATACTGAAGTAGAATTGGTTTCATGTGGGTAATTTTGGCTCAAACTGTATTCATACTTTCTGGATTAAAACTGACATTTATGGAAAATCTCTATATCGAGAATACTGAAGCATGGAATGAAAATTTTGTAAACTTCTCATCTCAGTGTCTGGTATCCTGGGAATTTTTTTTATTTTAGTATGTGCTTGCTTGATATTCTGATAAGGTAAATGCAAGTTTGGTTTGTTGCATTGATATTATGATAAGATAAATGCAAATTTGGTTTTAGAATTGAAATTATATAGATGCTATAGTCCTGTCCCTCTGGGAGTTATATGGATGTTGTATTGGGTACTGTATGGAGATGCTATATTTGCATAGATCATTTCAGCTACGTAGTTGTATTGAGTACTGTATGGAGATGCTATATTTTCCTTTCTCTGTTGCTCTGAAAAAAAAAAGTATCAGTTTTAGTTATTGTTTGGAGCATTTTCTACAGACATCTTCCCGAGCATATCATCAGCATATATTTTCACTCTCTTTTAAAAAAAAAAAAAAAAAACTGTACTCAATCCTTCCTATGCTTTATTCGTTTGATGGTGCATCTCATAATTTGTTAAATACAAATGTAGACCCAAATGAATATTTCTTATTATCTAGCAGCTTGGATGGCTCGATTCTTTAAGGGCAACCGCTGCAATAAATAGCCTATTGGGGGTAGTTACAATGTAAATTAGATCTGTGTAGCTTCACAGGTGAGGTGCAGTTACAATGTACATAAGATCTGTATAAGAAGGAAAAGGGGAACACTGCATACATTTTTTGTGAGAAAAATCAGTTGGCAGTAAATGTATTGTATGAGTAAAGTTGAATTAAGAATTTGTATGCATAAATGTGAATTAAACACTGCATACATTTTCTGCGTACTTTCTTAAGCATTTGTATGAGTAAAGGTATTTGTATGAGTAAAGGTGAATTATTATATAGACTGCTTACCTGGGCAAGCATTTGTTTGGCTGCTATTATATGGTAGCTACTATATGACAACATTTCTATGTCTGCTATTATATGTTGGACTCGTGTCATCAACAGAAAAATTACATGGCTGCTATTATATGTCATCAGCAAAAAAAATTGCAGTTTGTTTCAATTCACATGAAGCTGTTTTATATTCTGGATATATTTGTATATGTAACGGGTGCTGTGTATGTCATTGGTTAGGGCTTCTAATTTCTGTTATCAGCTAGTCTTTAGTTGATGCATATAAGAATAGTCTTGAGTTTATGCTTATATGAACATGCATATAGACTGCTTCACTTATCTGGAATAAATGCATATATGCTGTGAGGGTGTCCATTTTTTTTTTTACATTTTTTTTACACTTATTTGCTAGTTGTTGGTTCGATAAGCATGTGTTTTCATGATTGCTGCCTTGGTTAACTTGCTTGGGGGAAATGTGAATACGTATATAAAATGTTGTATCTTCTCTTCAGAACTCTTGTTAAAATACTCGCTTGGGTGATATTTGCTTGGGGGATATTTGCTAGTTGCTGGTTGGAGATTTTGGTTCTGAGCACATATTACAACTTCAACTCCTCTATTCTATGCTTTCTGAAGCAATCTTTTATTATGTTAGCAAACAATTATTTCTATAAACAGCCAGATTCAAGTATTACGGGTTTTCAAGTATGATGCTACCTGTTTTGAATTTGAGTCATCTTGTAAATTTGCCCTGCAGTGGCTTATGGAGATATAAAAATGAGAATATATTTGGACCATGCTTTCATTGAACATAAAGGGTGTTATTCTCATTGCATCTTGCATGGGTTAGACATTGCACTTCAGGATGATGCTCTTATAACAGTTTCTTTATGTTAACATCTATGGGCTGTTAAAAATAAAGTTTTTAGATTGAATAGAAAGAAGCTTTCAGCTCCGGAAAAAACATAATGAGCTGTAGCAGTGTTGTGCTGGCTTCTCCATACTTCAATAAGTATATTTTCAATATTTCCTCATTTTTTTTACTGATCTATTATCTTTTTATTAACTGTAGGACGATGAGTTCTAGATATTCAGGGAAGTCAGAGCAAGTGATGTGCCGGTGCGGGCTACCGACCTTGCTACTCACGTCATGGCAGCCACATAGCTACGACAGGCAATTTTACAGATGTCCGCGGTGGACACAACGACAGGAGGACTGCACTTTCTTTAGGTGGGCCGACAGTACGTCGCTTTCTATGAAAACCCAACAGGACAGCGCTGCTCGGAGTTCGTCGGTATCACAATTTCAGGACACCTCTCTTGGTTCTAGTGCTTCTATTTCAACGGTATCCCAGACGGACATGTTTGCTCTGGTTTCTAGAGTATCAAGCCAGGCAGCATGGGCCGTGATATGCTGCTACATTTTAAAGTTAACATTATTATTTTTATCCTTGTAATTTTAACATGTTTTTTTTTTGTCTCATGATACTCCATATTAGTATGTGAAAATGTATTTTATTTTTGTATATGTAAATGTGCTTATTTGATGTGATCGGAAATATTTGAGTTATGTAAATGTAACTCAATTTTTTTGTATTTTCTTGTCTTAACATTTGAAATTCAAATTTTGTTGAGAAAATTACAAATTCTACGTGACAGATTGTTCATTTAACCAAAAAAGTCTGCAAATAAGCTGTTTACGAAACACACAAACCAAACAACTAAACAACTTTTCCACAACATGGGCAGAATAGTCATTTATCCAAAATCAGTTGTTTTCCAAACACACAAATCAAACAACAAGACAGTTTATTCGGATCAACTGCTCATCAACAGATTATCAGAATAAGCTACTTATCAGCAGAAACTGGATAAGCTGCAGCTGCCCCAAACAGACCCTAAAAGTACGGTTATTTACATACATACCACTCACTCACCTCTTATGTACTTGCATATCTAACACCTAAATTTTGATTTTTACATTTATACGAGCCAAGTCGTTCATATCACATTAAAAACACCATTATTTTAACATTTACAAAGTGAAATACACCCATTCATGGATAAGGTAGCATATAACGTAAAAATAGAATTTTAGGTGTTAGATATGTAAATGCATAAGAATTGTGTGGTATGCATGCAAATCTTTCATAAAACTAGGTCAAATTCTACTTTTGCACTGAGTCAAGAAGTACAGTGGTTTACTAGTTTCAAACTGATTTATATTACTAAAATAAATAGAAATATAAAAAAAAAACTGATTCGTATTACTCAAAAACTAAAGGATTCAGGGATGCTGCATAGGCATAGAAACTTAGCATATAAATGTAATTCATACTAACTTTTCGTGTATATATTCACTAATTTTTAAAAAATTTAAACGTTTTATTTCATTTGCTCAACGGTAAATGCGGGAGAAGTATAAACAGGACAGCCACTATGGAACATCTATTCTAAGGTAGCGCATGTAAAAGAAACAAGCAATGTTTACCTTCTGCACCACAAAAGCAAATTGATCCGGTAACCGGAAGCTGTGGGATGGGCTCCGTGACGATGACGACCACGATGAAGTACAGCTTGACCAGGGACATGAGAATACTCCAATATTTCCTGCAAATAAACCAGGTTACTAGAATCAAGCACTGTAATTTTCATGATATTCTAAATTCTTTTTGGTGTAATGATATTTTAAATTCCACGACTCGCTTAAAACAATGAATTAAATTAATGACGAGCACGTTAAAATTATGAGAACCAAAACTTAAAAAAGGAAGACCTGTGTTACCAAAAATGTTTACACTTGAAAGTGAAAGCTATCACATATCAGTAAACAATTCACAGAATTTCCAAAAAAAAAAAAAAAAACCATACAAATAATGAAAATTTACGTGCATACCACTTATATCCTATGTATTTACATATCTAACACCTAAACTTAAATTTTTTTATATATTCTAGAATTCAAAAAAGAAATTTATTTCTCGTTACACCTAATACATTACGCTTCATGGCATAGATATAATAATGAAAGAAACAAACTAGGAATCCCTCCAAATATGAAAGGAAAGAAAAATAGGAAATAAAAATAAAAGGAAACACCGTTGGTGGAAAATATTATGTGAGAAGGAAATAAATTATTTCCTAATGCAAATTTGTACTTTCTTACACTCCCCTCAAGTTGGGTTGTATATATTGTGCAAATCAAGTTGGATTTCAATTCATCAAGACTGATCATAATAGTGTTTTGGTAAGAAAATCAACAATCTGAAGTTGTGTGGGAATATAGCTGAGTTGAACAATCTCATTATTAACCTTTTTCTGATATTAAGTATTGGTCAATCTTTAAGTGTTTTGTTCTGTCCTAATGCATAAGATTTTTAATCATACTAATGACTGCTTGCTATCACTGAACATCTTAATTGCGTCTTTTATCTCAACAACAAATTCCTTCAAGAACCTTTGAATCAATATTCTCTCACATATTCCTGGTGCAAGAGCACGATATTTAGAGTATGCACTACTCCAAAAAACAACTTATTATTTTTTGTTTCTCCATGTGACGAACTAGCCCCAAACGTATAAACAGTATACAACGGTTAATTTCTTATCAGCTACCTCTACTGTCCAACTAGCTTCTGTGAAAACCTCAATCTAATGATTTTCAGTTCTTTCGAAGAGCAAACCATATCCAAGGGTTATCTACAAGTATCTTAAGATTATGTTCATTACTTCCAAATGATCTTCATTTGGATTATTCATGTGTTAGCTTACTATATTGTCTGAGTATGTAATATCATGTATTGTTTGATGGTTAAGAAAAGTAATTTAACCAAAAGTCTTTCATATCTTCATTTGTCAATTGGACTATTTTCTTCACTTTTGTTTAGCCTTTTGTTGGAATCCATACTTGTTTCAGTAAATTTACGCCTAAACATGCTAGTTTAGTTTAACAGGTCTCTTCCCTCCTTAGAAAGATATACTTCCTTTGGGATATGACAATTCCCTCCTTAGACGACATCTCTTCCATTCCCAAAAAATATTGGAGATTCCTAAGGTTTTTTATCTCAAATTCTATTTCAAGCATCTTTTCAAGTCGGATAATTTCCTTTGTGAATCATCACCTAAAGAGATAATATCATCTACATATACTATGAGAATAACAATTTTGCTTATAGTATTGGATTTAACAAATAGTGTATGATCAGCTTGACATTGATGACATCTATTTGTAATCAATATTTTAACATACATATCAAACCAAGTACGAGGAGATTGCTTCAAGCCATATAATAGCTTCTTCAACTTACAAAGCTTGACCTATTTTCCAAGCCCAGAGGTACAGTCATGTAGACTTGTACATCAAGTTTGGCAACAGATGCAAATATTTTTTGGTAGTTAATCTCGTATGATTGCATGATGCGCTTGGCAACCAATTTGGCTTTGAATCTCTTTACACTTCCATCTCCTTTGTCTTTGGTCGTGAATATCATCCATTTGAAACCTACAAGATTTTTTCATGAGGTAACTCTTTAAGTGTCCATATGTTATTCTTCTCTAAATCCCAGATTTATTCCTCCAATGCCGGTTTTCAAGCTGGAACTTTTAGAGCTTCTTGGATAGAGTTGGGAACCTGCACGATATTAATGTTTGTCTAAAAGCCCGTAACATGATAGCAACTTCCCATAAGCTTCATATCTTTCAATTGGATGACCATTGCACTCTTGGATACCTTTAGTATGTGCAATTGGTTTATTAGAATCATAACCATCAGTGCAAGGGAGTCGTGAGTTAAGGAATTCATACCATTATGATTATCTGGAGGACATTGCTTTGGCTCTTAATAGTCCCGGGTCTACATAATATCCTCTAAATGCTCAATGGTCTTTTTTCTTCTGATGTAGATAAAATTCCTGATTATTGGTGTCATGCTGAGGTGGAGAAAAGACAATTGAAAAAGGTTCTGTGACACGGTTTGGTTCTTTAAGTGGAGCTGGTTGAGGGATAATTAGGTTTAGTTAAAAAAAAATGGTCTAAATATCTTGGAAAAAATCTCAAATATAATATTCCCTTGAATCTTTCCCGGAATTTCAGATTTGAGAAAATAAGATTGATTGTCAAAGAGTGTGATATCCATGGAGTTCTATATTTTTCTAGTGGTTGGACGATAGCATTTGTACCTTTTTTGATCTGAGAAGTAATAAAAAAAGATGCATCTGAGAGACCTAAAACCAAGTTTTGTGTGGTATTGTTGATGGATGTGAACAAAGACAATACAACTAAAAATCTTTAATAATAAGTTAGAAGTGTAATAACCATGTAAAAAGAAAATAAAATAGAATTAAAAAAATGATATGTGTTGTTCGAATGAGACATAATGCTTGCAGGAAACAAAACGACGAATATTTTCTCTTGTTTCATTCTACTGAACACAAAGGAAACATAGGGATTGAGAGCAACGGAGAAGAAAGGAGAAAGTAGCAATGTCACTAAGAGGAAGCTGAACCCTAACCAAGCAATTTCAGCAGTACAAGCCAAACAAGCAAGCAAGCAAGCCATGTGAGTAGATGAAAAGTAAGAGAAAGAAGAGGTAGGATCTTGCTTTCAAGTGGAAGGAGACATCATCGAGCAAGCCAGCCCTTGACGAGGCGACAACATAGCGATCAAAACCAAAGGAGACACCGTTGAGCAAGTAAAGACGAAGAAGCAACATTCGTAGTTACCAAGCTGAAGAGATTGTGGCCGAAGGAAGAAGGGAGGAGAAGAGGGGCTTTGCTTGCGATAAGACCAATTGAAGAGGTTAAGTGCTTTCCTAGTGTAAGGAAGGAGGACGCCACATGTGGGTTGTGCCAGAGAAGAGGAAGAATGAGCCCTTACTCGAGTCATGCCTTTGATAAGATAAGCGCTATGGGTTTTATGTTTTAATTTTTATTAGTTATTTAATTCATTTAATGGATTTTTATTAATTTATATTAAGTATTACTCATTAAAACTGGTAGATCAATCGAATTAAAAACTTGGGAGCGATCGTGATTAAGTGGTGAGTTTGAACTAATGAGATTAAGTGGTGAGTTTGAACTAGTTAATTTTTTAAGCAAACACTATAAAGTAATTTGATATAAATTGGGAATAATAGATTAAGTATTATTATAAAAAAAATTGAATTTTAATAATGACTCAAATTTATTACAGATTAACCTTCATGTTATAGAGTTATAAATTAATTGATAAAAAAATTTTAAGTACTATTAAAAATTAAAATAATTAAATTGTGACATAATACTTAATATTAAGATAACAATAAGTAAATATACTATTTGAAGCAATATATTTAAGGGTTTAAAATAAAATAATGAATTATAAAAGTAAAATACAGACAAATTACTTACAAATAGTAAGATTTAAACCATTATAAATTAATAAGAATACTTTGCATATTTTATTATAAGTTTTCTACTGAAGGAAAACATATAAAAAATACAGGCAAAGGAATCTTCTAAGCATTGAGGCGAGTACTATACTCTTAAATTATAATAGTATTTTTTATCTCGTATAAAATAATCGTATGAATTGTTAATGATTCCTGATTAATGCATTATTATTCCTCTATTTTAAAATTTTATCGATCATTCCGATATGAATATTTATAGTCTCCCATTATGAAAAATTTTATGCATTATAGTATTAAATATTACATATTAAATGACATGAAAACATGAATGTTATGGCCAATATAAAGTGATTGTTTCTGTATGTTTAACTATGATGGAGTTCACTCATTTATGATATTAGCAGTGAAATGCTAAAATACACATTAACGTAAATGAAAAATTATCTTGATATTGATATATCTTCATTGATACAAGTTTAGAGAGTATTTTTGTGACGGTTGTATACAGATTGAAAAGATATTGATATGTAAATGACATAATAAGACATAGTTAATGTTTAGAGCCACTTTGAATATCATTGATAGTAAAAACATTCAGATGTTTTTAGATTGGTTTACATAAAGTTTAACTGACAATCATGTTATTTTCCTTTCATTGTGTTACTATAGTTTAAGAGTTCAAGCATTCATTAGCTTTGGTTAGCTCACTATTTTTTTAATCTAACAATTTATGTTTAATTATCTGATTAAAAGATGAATAATAGAGAAAGAAATATTCATAGTGGATGTGAACAATCATAAATAAGATAAATTTAATTACACTAATTTAATTTACTTTCTTTGGTGACTCTTTCAATTCAATTGGATTATAAATTGTTAGTTACAAAAAATTTAATTCCACCGTTCGACTCTTTGTTCCCACTTTGATTAATTTCAAACCTTGAGTTGGGTAGTGATAAGAAAAAGAGCAGATATGGGTAAAATTCCATAAGAATGTTACAATGAACTTTATGTTATCGGACTCGACTAGACATCTTATTGATGAGGTAAGTGACTGTGAGAATCACTTCATCCAAAAATGTTCAGGCACAAGATTAAATAATATAATGGCACGGGCCACCTCAAGCGCATATTTTTCCTTTCAACAACCCTACTTTGTTGAGCATCCACATAAAAGCTTAAATGGGTAATATTACACTTGTATATATAAGGACTAGGATGT